CTCCCTGTTATAGGGCCGTAACATCCCAGGCATTCAATTATGCTGATATCTATGCACATGAACTTGTTACAGACCAATCAAAGATCTCTGCTTACAACAAGGTGGTCTTGAAAAGGTGCAGGTTTAACGCAGAACACCCAGTGGCAGCACTACTGAGATGTGAGCCAAAACAGCCAGCAGACCTGAGAGGGAGAGTACCTGTCGGAGACCTGGGTTTCCCTTCTGCAGCTGAAGATGGAGCAGAGCCATTGGATGAAGGTGGTAATCTCTGGCTGTCCCTTTTACCGTGAGGAGATTCTTTCATTCGATTCACTACATCTTCCGAGAGCTGAAACACACACACACGGGAACAAAATTAACGAAGCTGCCTCTTACTGTATACACATGGCCCTACGACAGCTCCCAAGGGGCCCCCACCTATATCCCACAAAGAGAAATTAGGCAAGAATGACTTTACCTCTGTCAAACACTTTAAAAAGGAGATTGGGACAATCTTAGTTAACTTTTGTCAAATGACTAGTCAAAATGGGATGAAAAATAAGTAACTGCAGCAAAACTCATTCTGCAAGCTCATTTCAGACAAACCTTAGGGGGAAACAAGATAAAAGTATGAAGAAGTAGCAGTAGTTACTATTATGGTAGTAATAAAAAAGATTAAATAACCAAAGGAGAGAAATCTTGATGGGGGGGGGGGTGAAGTGGTCCTTAATGATACCAGCACCACCACTCTCTAGGGTTTGTTTTCACAACACATACATGAAAATGTCCGATCAAAGTTCAAGAAGCAGCTTCCCACTGCCACTCCTAGAAACGTCCCTAATCCTCCCTAATCCCCACAACCTCTTATCTGCCCGAATGTTCAGACAGCGGGGCTCTCTCTGCCGAGGCTCTCGGTATCACTAATAAGGGCAGAAGCGTCTCCTCTTGGATGCCCTCAGAGCCAGGCAGTGCCTGTAGCATCAAACTGCTTGCAAAGCACAAGGCAGGGGCAAGATGGGGTCATTAAGCAGAGAGGAGGGAAAGACGGTTGAGAGCAGAGTTTGGAAGGGGAGATAAAGGGCTGGTGTGTCATCACTGAACAAAAGGCAAGCTCAGGCACTCAGTCCTCTTTCCCACTGCTCTCCAGTGACCCCATCGCCTCTCTAACCTTCCAGTTTCCTTCAGCCTTCCAGTTTTTCCTCCCCTTCTCCTTGCTGGTTTTCCCCACTCGCCCCTTTCACCCTGTATCATATTCCCTGCCGTCCTCTCCCCCTCCAGCAGGGCCTTCCCCAGCCCAGGTCCCAGCCCCCGCAGCGTCTCCCTGCCTCCATCACCCGGCCCCGGAGCGCCCTCGGGCCGCCTCACCCTGATGCCCTGCAGCACCCGGACTTGCTCTCGCTCATCCAGCCCGAAGGAGACCTTCCTGCCGCCGAGGCTGCTCTCGCTGCCCCCCATGCCGGCGGGGCGGGCGCTGGGGACACCGCGCCCCCCGCTCACACCGGGCTGCCGCTGCGATGAGCGCCTCTTCCCTTCCGCCGCCTGTCAACAAACCCACACCTCATTGGCCAGCGACTTCGGGACGGCCAATAGCGCAGCGCGGTGCTGGCAGCGAGTCGCGGTGCACGCTGGGGGCTGTAGTCGCTGGCTGAGGCTGCGCGGGCGTCCAGAGCCGTCCCGGGGAGAGCGAGGCGGCCCTCCTTACCCGCCACCCATGGCGGCATCGAAGCGTCTCCGGGCTCGAGTTGTAGCCCTCGGCCTTGCTAGGCTTTCTCCTCCCCTCCTGTCGACCTCCACAGCTTCGTTTCCAACGCAGGATCAAACCATACCATAAACTTCCACTGCCACACAGCTGGCATACAGGGTTCCTTTACCGGATCAAAATTACAGAAGGAAGAAAACCAAACCACGTGTAATCACACAGAAAATAAGCCAGGAAGGCACGAAGTCTATCTCCTAACTACAGGATCGAGGAACAACCCAGGTGTTGTCCATGAAGGAGGATTCCTTGTCCAAGGCCATTCCCCCTCAGCAGCACAGAGGCAAAGCAGCCCCAAGGGAGGGCATCACCCTCACCCCAACCAAGAACCCAGCCATCTGCTGTCCCAGTAACAGCCTCCAAGAACAAAAAATTCATTTCTGATGAAGAGACATTGTATTATTCTCTTATTACCTGCCAGGTTTGTTCAGAGCTTTAAAAAAAAATCTGAACATTATTTTTCTCCATAGTACAAATCATTTGAGAAAAAAGTATGACCAGTTATGCCAAACTTAATTTTATTGATTTATTTTACAAACAAAAATATACATTTATTTTATATTTTCTCTCTTTGCACACACAGAGAACACACTTCTGCTCAAGGACCATGGTGAATATGGCCCACAGCATTATATGTACATAAATACACCAGGAGGGAGGTCAGTCCATGAGCTAGCACAGAAGCTCCTCAGCAGCAGAACATGGGACACTCCAGAAACGCTGGAGTCCTGCCAGCAAAAGACAGGATGAACACATCAACCAGCTGCACAGGTGATCCTCCAGCACTGAACTCAGCCAATGAAAAGGCAAATTCATTACCTGCTCTTCACACCCCCAAGGAGGGCAGGTAAGTCCGCTCGATTTTGTTGAGTCATCCATTCCTTGGGATGGAAAAGCAGCTGCTCCTTTATTTCTGAACTGCTTCAAGACCTTCACATCTCTTAGCTCTGTCCAGGGCTCACCAACTGCAGGGAAGCTGTGCAGGTTTCCCCACACTTTGACAGCAGCTCAGGATCAGCGTTGTGAGCAGCAGCAGGGTCATTCAGGCATCACATCATCCATCCCTTTCAGAGTGAGCAAGCGTGGCTCAGGCCAGTTCACAGCGAGTGATGGGAGGCACTTCCCTAACACAGCAAGGGCTGGCTTGGCCAGCTGCTTGTCCAGCTCTTACAGAGTCATTGCATGGAGGGGAAATGCAAAAGGCCATTGACCCACATGAGAAAATTCAGCTCTTGCACATGGACAAACAGAACGATTTTTTCCTCAAAAGAAATTAAAAAAAAAAGGGAGGGGGGGGTGTTTGTTTTCAAGGTGTCAGTGCTACTTAGAGGCCTGCAGAGCAGAGTCCACGGGCAGACAGAGGCTGCATGGCTCATTAACAGTACAAGATAAGCAAAGGGCCTGCATAGTTTTGGCAACCAATATGAACTTTCTCTATGGTGGGAATACCTGGCAGTGAATGCTTTCCCCTACCTGTTCATGATCCAAACCACTATGTGTTTGTTTTCAAGGTGTCAGTGCTACTTAGAGGCCTGCAGAGCAGAGTCCACGGGCAGACAGAGGCTGCATGGCTCATTAACAGTACAAGATAAGCAAAGGGCCTGCATAGTTTTGGCAACCAATATGAACTTTCTCTATGGTGGGAATACCTGGCAGTGAATGCTTTCCCCTACCTGTTCATGATCCAAACCACTATCTCCACAATGCATCCTGCACAATGATTTCCCAGAAACTCTTATGTCAATATTTTTTAGGAAAAGCCGTGAGTTGGGGCAAGAGATTCACACAGTCCTTAAACATTTCAAATTCCCTCTTTATAAGATCTCTAATGGAAAGTTGCTATTGCTTATAGCAGATCTCCACCTACCTGAAGGATTCAGGTAGGAAAGCACCCCCAAAGCTAGAGAAAGACACCTCTTCATCCTTGGAGAGCACAGTATGTGCCAGAAACCAGCCTGATGCAGCTGTTTTCAGTCTCTGGATCAGAACAAGATCAGACAAGAGAGTCTCCTTTTCCAGCATGGAAGAGCTTAAGTTCCAGATAATCTTTCTGTGAACCACACTCCACATGCACATAAGTATTGTCAACCTATCAAGCCATAAAACCTATTCAAGCCAGCAGAAATCTGAGGATCTGAACTGCAACATAAGAGAAGGACACTGCTGGAGAAACACATCCATCTCCCACTCGCCTCCCAGCTTCAAACACCAGCTAGCTTGGTTCTAGCAGATCTATGGTATTTGAGTTTCCAGTCACTAAATACTGACAGCTCAGACTTATCATGGGCTTTCTGCTCTGCCTCAAGCACCTGAACATCTCTGGAGCCTTCATCTGCAGAGTCAGCTTCCTCCTTCACAGCACTTCATGACCCTGCCAGAGCCAAGAACGAGGGTGCAGTTGGAAAATGCACCTACCTCACAGGTCCTATTCTTGAAACTCAGCGCTGATGCAGTCTTGTTATTCAGATTTTCTAGTACAGCCTCCACAGACTGTTTCACAGCTACTTCAGCTCAGGTAGACAGCAGCACTGTCTGTCCATCTGCCTCCCTGCTGTTCAGTCAGTTCACATCCATGCTGCTAGCTATGAGCCCCCTAAAATGCTCCCAGGGCACAAAGAACAGTTCATTCCTCTTCACACTGCTCTTCTCCTTTCAACACACTCGGAACACTTCTTTTAACCCTTAGCAACTACAATTCATGGTTTTCATCACTATTAGCTGAAACCAGAAATGAGTCCAGCGGACCAGTTCCCCTCTTCAGACACTGCTATCACCACCTATGCTGTTGCATTATGACAAGACCCAGGCAACCATGCTGCTCAAAACAGCCCAGGAAAACCATCCCTGGTTTCAACCACCAAACTCTCTCTATATAAATAGAATACAGCAGTCAAATCAACACACTCATCCCTAAATGCCACTCTCCTAGTTGGCAGATAAGCGCTTTCAGTAATTGAAAAGGAAAAGGTGGCAGACAGGCCTGTCTTCTGGGTCATATTCCCATCTGGAACACAGAGGATCAGGAAGGTTCAGTATTTATAGGTTTATGAACAAAACTGTTCTACATCATTCACAGGTAGCAATAGAAAGTGTTCTTTCCAGGCTGCCAACTTAGTTCCACAATAGGTTTCAGAAATCCTAAGGAAGAGAGGAAAGCCACGGCAGACAGCCAACGCCAGATTTCCAATGGACATCCCAACAGCTGTGGTACCAGGGAGTCTGGAAGGAAAGGAACGAGGCATTGTGTGAAGCGGGCAGCTCTGCCTTAGGCATTGATGGCTTTCCAGCGGTCACTGTCCACGCTGTTGATGCTGCCCACGTGATAGGGCATAGAGGCCACATCATCCAGGTAGGCTGTGGTGTCAATCTGAGTGCTCGAGTAGAAGCCAGAATCCATCCCTTCCTTCTTGGCAACTGCATAAGGGTGGGGTAGGTGCACATCCACGTCCTCAGGTTCATCCACCTGACACTTGTAGGAGAAGAGGATCTTCGGTTCAGACCTGGAGTGATTAAAGATTTAAAAATACACGCTTAAGCAATGTAGTATCGCAACCACACATCCTTAACTGGGACTCAGCAGCACTAAGAAATTGTGTACTCAGACAAAAAACTCTTCACACTAGCTGTCAGTCCTGAAATATATCAGCAGTTTTCATCCCTAATTCCATTCCTTCCTTCCAATTTCAGAAGGCAGAAGAGTCACATTTTGATATTTTAGGAGTACTCCGAGTTCTTAGTTATTTTAAAGCCTTCTGTTTTTTGCTTTCAGACAACAAAAGCTAAAGCCTACAATGAACACTTGGCTTTTCCTACCAAGATGCATCTCCTCCGAGCGGCCACGCGGTGGCAACCCCGACCCAGGAATCTCTCCCGAGTGTTTTTTTTCTGGTGACTCCTGGGCCCACTGGAGAAGAGTCCTCGGTCAGAGTTACCCAACTCCTGGACACTTTCTACAAGCCTACCTCAAAACCCACCCAGGAGACCATTTAACCTTTCAGAACCCAATCTCTCCAGCAGACAAACTTTGTACTAATAGGATGCAGACACAGAACAAGTGATCTTTAAAATAGTTTGAGAGGAATACAGCTACCAGCTCTGCTTTGCATACAAAGGAGTCTTGGAGAGAAGTGAGCAGCCCTAGGTCACAAAATAAAAGCTTCAAGGGCAGAAATTAAAAACTGGTTCCCTAACTGGCACTCGTCACTGCCTCTATTCTTCAGATGGGGAGAACTTGAGTGCAAAACAATTAAATGGCAATATATACCCTCTAAACTCCTGTTTCTGGCTACTCACCCAAAGAAACCTTTCAGGAAAAGGTGCAAAGAAGCTGAAGTAAAGGAACGTGGTAGCATCAACACAGCTGCCAACAGCAAAAGAGAACATAAGGGAGTTTAGTACTCAAACAATACAGCTGGATAACACCAGTCACATACCCCCAGAATGATCCAATTTCCCTCCACCGTGTTCAAGCAGAGGACAAGAAAAGTCTTGTGCTAAACAAATTCAAACTGATGTAAAGTAACAGACATTGCCATCAACACGTGTCCCAGCTCCTTCCTCAGAGAGGACCACACCAAGATACAAGATCTGACCAAGAGTCTCAGTGCTTCCAATTTTTACTCACAGAAGTGACATAGACCCCTGCAAAACAAGACTCCAGATATGAATAAGGGTATCTCCATGCTATTTCTAGCAAACAGATCGTTACCTCCCTTATTATCCATGAAATATAAGTCAATGGTCAGGCATCAGTGGATTAGAACTATCAGTCACCACCTCAAGATGACCATCACAGACCTCTGCACTGTGAGTTTCCTGATCACTTTGAGGTCTTCTGGTGCAAACCAGAACCAACAGCTTTATTTCTTCTTGAGAACACAGCACAAGTTTGCTTTCTTGGGAGAGACAATGTTGAAGGACACGCAAATGCAACACGAGAAACCAGGCTGCACATCCTCCCCAGCATACATACCACAGTCCCTCTATGATATCCACGCAGAGCAGGGCACTGCCCAGGCCCTGCACCAGGTTTAGCAGTGCTAGGATTCCAGCATAAACATAAAAACTCTTCCTGGCTGTGGGAAAGACACAGACACATATTAAGCTCAACCTCATAAGCAAGAGTTCAGTGCAATTCTGTCTGATGGAGATGGCAAACCCAACAGGAGCATCTCACCATCTTGTTTAAGAACTGAAGATTTAAGACTGAATTTTCCTGTCCCATGCTGGCAGGATTGACAGAGGCATAGTGGACTTATGGGTTTTTATGGGATATAGTCATAGCAACACATGCAAAGATTTTATAGGCAAGCATCTGGAACCAATGTCAGTCATATAACTGAATATAAGAAAAACAAGATCATGTAACAGCACTAACAAAACTGCTTAGGAGAGCTGGACAGGAGCAGCAGGGTAATGCTGGACACTGGGCAGGTGTGGCCCAGGACCTCTTGCTTGGGACACGTTCCCCACATATTCACTCCCTCAGGGCACCCACACAGAGATGCCAACACTGCTTAGAGAGAGAAGAGCCCAGTGCAAATGCCTTAGTGACAACTTCTCTCCCTATTCAAGAACTGCAGACATTCTGCAACAAAACGAAAAACCAGAGCAGCATCTTAATAAAGTAAATTCCCAGATAAAAATTATTAAGCTGCTCCTAATAAGCCTTTCTTTCCCAGGAGATGACCAGCCTGTACACTTTAACAACATACATGCATTTCAAAGGAAGCTATTATTAAGAAGCCACTTCTTACATCTCTGCAGATTACATATTTACAGTACATCTGTATCATTAACTGAGCAGTAGGTCTTGTTTTCTTAATGCTACTGAAGTAGCAATGTAATTGCTCTTACTCTGCTCTTCAAAAGGCACAATGTGTATCTCTACCCTGAGACCACAGGTTGTATCTGCAGTGAAACCAAGCACAGGAATCTATCACTTCCTCCTGTGTTTTATCCCAGCACTGTCTCCATCTATACTATGGAACACACCAGTCACACACCAGTCACTTACAGGGCAAGGAAATCCGGTCTTTCAGAGGAGTTTTTGGAAGAATCACCACCAAGGAATAGACCTGTTGAGACAAAGAACAAAGCGTTTTATAGCTGCTTGGCAGCTGAACTCAACAATCCCTGCCGGGATAGTGTGAGGTGGCACACACTCCCTAAGTATCCCATGACAGAAGCACAGATCCCTCAGTACTAAACCCAGTGCAGATGTGAAGGCCCCACACCTCACCCATATCAGTACACAAAGGCTGGTCACTGAGGAACAGCAGAGTGAAGAACATCTAAGTTCAGCTGCCACAGCTTACATCACTGCCACCACATCTTTATTGCTTCAGCTTCAATGCTGCTTTGTATGAGACAGAGGGGGACCAGGGCCACCTCACACACAAATCATCCTCCTTGCCCCATTCAGAAAATGCAACGAAGCTATCAGAGTGTGTAACTCATGCTCAGTACTTACTAAAAAGAAGAAACAGGAGCTAGCAAGCCAAAAGTGTCTTCCTCCATGGCCATAGATGTTGAAGTCTTCTGCTGAGAGGTGGGCATCAGGGTACAGGATTTCCAGGGTGCCCTAGGAAAGAAGTAGCACCAACACAATTCTACTGTAGGCAGCATCCTCACTAGAACAGGTGTCTGGACAAAGGAGATTGTGTTTAAAGAAATTCAGAGAACAGCCATCCCTGCCATCTAAGACCCAACCATTGCTCTGCTTCGACCAAGTTAAGCTCACACAGAAGAAGAAACCAAAGACAAGAAGTTAGAGGGGGAAAAAGTGGCAGGAATCTGCATTTGAAGGAAACTGGCATCAATGACATTCCAGAGGAGAGGCTGAATGAAGAGATGCGGGATGCAAGCAGTTGTCCATCTGAAATACTGATTGTTCTATTTCCATCTCTAAATTAAGACCGTTCCTGCTGAATATAAAAACCTACACTTGTGTAAGTTAGAAAAGGACACTGCCTCATTCACTTGAATTCCTGAAAAATGGTACGAACAGATGTTACCATACAGACAGTGGAAAGAGAAAAGCGCTTGTAAGCACCACTGAACCCAGATATAGCTCAAACACTTGATATTTAATGAGACTCCTCCAGTGTTACCATGTGGTAACGATCAGCTCACTGCCTCCACAAGCAAGAGCCTCGTCACGGAACAAAGACCTGTGTGTTATTCTGTTGCTGTCCTAAGCACAGAGACACAGAGCTGACCACTTCCATACCGAGGAGAATAAACCCAGACACACATTGCATTGTTCAGAGAGATGGAGACACAGCTGTGAACTGAGCTAGCAAGCCAGCTGCTCATCTGAAGGGAAGGAGGAGCTCTCAGATTCAGGAGACAAGGCCCAGTGCACTGCCCTTACCTGTACTTCTGTCTCTAGTACACCCACCTGCGTGACAGAATACGCCAGAGACAGCACCGTAGTGATTGCCAGAACACGTTTCACACTTGACTTGCTCTCCAGGTGGCCTGGAATAAAAGAATACAGAAGTGACTCAGGATGCGATCCCAGCCCTGGTAAAAATCAGTTCTCTCCAAAACCAATACAGGAAAACACTTATATTTCCAGTGACCTTCAATGGAAGGTTAAAGCTCACTCAACAGCTAGAAACTGCTTCCCTGTTTGGAGAGTTGAACCTTTCACAGACAAAATAATACTTACAAAACACTAAGTTTTAACTTGCTTTCCTCCTGCCCACACTAATTTATAGAAAACTAAGTCCTTCTGCTGGAGTTACCAAAAAATAGAAGGTAGGAATTACTCCAGTGCCACATACACTGAGATACTGTAAAGTTTCTACTCAGGAAGAAAACGTTGATTGGAGACTGGGTAAGAGCAGGGGAGAAGGGCTTACATAATTTAGAGATCTCTTCACTGGAATATGTTGGAGCAATTTCCAGAAGCTCCTTCCAACTTAAATTATTCTATGAGCCCTCAAAAGATGAGAGAACGAGTGCTCAGATGTTCCACCGGCAGATGCAAGAGTGACACCCACCTCTCTCCTCTAAACCAACCAAGAAGGGGACTGAGGAGCCCCAAAGGAACCATCTTAAGTTCAACAGTGTTGAAGCAAAGATCAGGCAGTTGATCTTTACATAAGTCATCTTCACCCAAGCCATACACTCCTTTGCCAGAGGACACTTTCACACCACACAGGACAAACAAAGCACATATAAATCCTGAAACTGCACAAGCCATAGATCCTCAAATACAACCAGGCTTTCAGCTATTTCTAACTAAAACTGCCCAATTTGTCCTTTGCCTTTATTTTAGAGCTCTTTCACTTTATAGAATCAGCATCTCTAAAAACTTACAGATGCATCCCCAGTGGAAAGAAAGTGGAGAAATTCAAAGCATTCAAAAACTCCTGACACGTACCAAAGGCAAGGCCTAGAATCACCACACTCAGCTCAATCGCCAGAAGGAAGAACCTTGTGATCTCCCACAGGATCTGCGGGATAACAGAAACCAGACAAACATGATTAGATGGAGCCAGCAACCAGCTGGAAGTTAATACCGCGAAACTCCACTCTCTGCTCCAGGGGATGGCAGCTTCTGAATGGAGCAGGTCATCTCCACAGCCTTGCTCATGCTTTGCAGGGATGCTCATTATATGCTTGTTTCAATCTCTGTCTGTGGCTGTGAAACAGCACAGCTGTGTGGGAGCGAGCAAATAGCACGTCTACGGAGAGAGGAAGTGGCCATGGTTTGCCACACTTGATCTGTCACTGGTCTTGGATGTGTTCTTCCTGCTGTACTCCCAAGGAGCACAAACCCAAGGAGACCTTAAAAGTATAACATTAACAGGGCCAGCTGTTAAAGCTGTAGATTCTGCAGTAGTTGACTGAATAAATTCAGTCTTCTGCACTCCTCCAAAGCTCCTGGTCCCTACACTTACAGCATATTCAACTCTAAAGCCCTCCCACTTCCAGCTTATTTTCATTCCATGTTTTATTTGGTCAAACAAGACCAAAAACATAGCAGATAAAGCACTTTTCTAGGTCACCGTGCAAAAAATCAGTGCCAAACCTAGAAAAAGAGCTCAGATTGTGGCTTACTAATCCTCGTCCTCTGAATAAGCTGAAGAAAAGCATTTTCTCCCCTCCTCTCCATTGTTCAAGTCCTGGACCTCCATCTATTCCAAGGTGAACGAAGTGCTACAAACATCCAGCCACCCACAGGCAGCAGTGCACTGCAGTGCTTTGAGAGGTAACATTAAGGGAACAGCAAAAGAACCACACTGATCCCAAAGAATAAAGTCAAAGACCTGTACTCTGCGAGCAGCTCTTCTTCCTCTAAGAGGAGGAAGATATTGTTTTAGGTAATATCTTGCTACGAGTGAAACGACTACAAAGGAACAGCACGTACACAGCTATTTCCTGTTTGCTAAGGGTTCACCCTGTGCTCAGAGTGGCTGCAAGGACGTTCAGATACCAGTCCAAAATGGAATTTGATTTTATTTGCTTTCAATACAAAAGAATCTGATCTTTTTCAAAGAGCTACTCAAATACTGCAAGAGTAACAAAGGCCAGGTCTTGCCTATCCACTAAAGGTACTCAAATGCTTAGCTCTTGCAAAGCAGAGTTGTTCCATCCCTGCAACAGGAAAGTTTTGCTGCCACTATTTGTGTGTCTCTTTTAGGAAGTCCATTGTTTTACAGCCCTGATGTTGTGACCATTTAGATACAGCTATCAGAACAGGATTCCACAGCACACATAGCTACGAGTACTGCAAAAAACCCACATGATTCTTTTATATACACAAAAAGAGAAGCTGGAACAGATCGCTATGATCAGAACTGCATGAAGCAGAACCTCCAAAGTCAGTGTTGTACCTACCTTGTCAGCAACCGTGGCAGCATCAGAGGCACTCACAGTCATGGAGACAACAGCACGGGCAATACCAACTAAAGCCACCACAAATACCTACACAAAAAGATACCAAACGTGAGCTTATGTCAAAATGCATACAAGCAGTAATGACCCAGAACCTTTTTGGAATACTATTTCCAGTTTTCAACCCTGGTAACGTGTACTAAGAATTTCCTGTAGCAGCTTACAGTTAATTTCCCAAATAGAACTCCTGAAGCCTGTTAGATGTGCGAGTACTGGCTTAGAATTCAGGAAGGACCAAGCTTCCTCAACTGTCAGATTAAACAGCTCTGATGAGGTCTCATGCACTCCTTACAACAGTACCTTCACAGGCAAAGTCTTCCCACCCTTCAAGTCCACTGGGGAAGGGGAGGAAAAAAAACAGACAAAAAACCCCAGATCCTTCCAAATAATAAGATCAAGTGCTTGGTATGACTGAATAAACCAATCGCATCAGGTAACAGAAGCCACTTGATACCACCCACCACACTTCAGATCTGTGATAAAACTAAAATCTGTGGTTCTTCCACTCAACACTAACAATGCTCAGGAACAGAGGAAAAAAAGTCAGCTTCAGCCAACAGCTTTAAAACATTCAACCCTGCTGCACAGCGCAACACTGAGACACCCAAGTCAGCTCCTGTACCATCTAAACATGGCACCATGGAGCTCAGAAAGGCTAATTTGCCACCTCCTGTGCTGTCACAGCCACACTGTGCAATTAAGAGCTCAGTGGGATGTATCTACCCTCCACTGTGCAGAACCACCCTCTAATAAAGCAGATTTTTCCAGATAAAATTCTCCAAGTCATGAGCTAATTCCAGTGATGCAGCTAAATCTATCAGAGAACAGAGTCCAAGCTGCCTGCAAGGTGGTTGGAGAATGGAAATGACCAATAATCCACCTATAGCTGAATACTTCCTCCTCAGAGGAAGAGGGGATGCACGTGGTATGAAAGAGGAATACAACACCACTCTCCTGAGGTGGAAAACCCTGGGACAAAACACTGACAAAAAAGAAGGGTCCTTGAATATAAAGGTGTTCTAGAGCAGAAACAACTCACTAGAGAGGAAAACACACCCTTTTGGCTTCCTCTTAAGTAGGTAAAGGCATTTCCCAATTCATTAACTTAGCTTTAATCGCCAGCTCCACAAGCAAGCATTCCTTCAAGACAGGCAAACAGCCTTTTGAAAGGAAATCCTCACAGAACGCACTCCATCCTCATTTCCCAATAACACGCTCCAAAGATCAAACTGGATAAAAGCATTTTTCTCTAAGGCTGTTCCATCACTTTCTGCTTCTCACTCTGTTTTGAAAAAGCCAAAAGCATAAAGCCAGTTCACTTTTTTCTTCCCTCTGGTTTAATCGGGAGTTTTGCTTTTCAAAGCCTTTGGCACAAACTTCGTACAGAGCCATGTGCATTACTGGAACCACAAAGAAAGATTTAAACTCAGACTGGAAACAGCTGGTAATACTTTTTTTTAAGTTTGGAGCATTTGTGGGCATACCCAGTTATCCAAAACTGTGTACAAGCCCAGCAGCCACACTCCAGGCCTGAAAGCCAGCTCCCACCACAGACCCAGTTGAGGCTACCAGCTCAGATTTGGTTTTTCTGTTTCTTGGGTTCTGCCATGCCAGTGCCTGCACACAGCCCAAGGAAGGATGTCTCCCATCTAACCCAATACAAACATTTATTTCTACAACCTGTAGGAATCTCACCGAGGAAGAGCAAGCACATTATGGTACACACTCAGGCAAGCGAGGATCTCAAAAAAAAACCACCTATGATAAATCTTATGAACAATATTTAAAAAAAACACTCAGGTAGGTTTTTAGCTGCATTTACCACACCCTGTGAGCAGTATCACAGTTAATAGGTATAATGTTCAGAGATCACTAAAGAGACTACCTCAATGTAATCAAAAGTTGCCTGTGCCTTTTTAAACTGGGGAGAGGATGTTTGAGACCTGTAACTGTACTGCCCATATATTCTGTTTCCACCTTCAGAAGTATCAAGAATATGATCAAGTGAGCAGCTACTTTGATATGATGGGGAAGAAGCTAACAGGGTTGTGTTTCTACATTCCCAGACTAACCACAATCCAGTCACGTCACCATTTTCTACAGCAGACGACCAAGCTTTTCCACAGCTCCACACAGCTTGCCCAGAGAAGCTGTGGGTGCCCCCTCCCTGGCAGTGTCCAAGGCCAGGCTGGACAGGGCTTTGAGCAGCCTGGGCTGGTGGGAGGTGTCTCTATCCATGGCAGGGACGATCTTAGATGATCTTTAAGGTCCCTTTCAACACAAACCATTCTGTGACTCTATGAAATTACCGTCCAGTGTTTCACTTTCACTACTGCAGCGAGAAGCTGGTTCTGTGTCACATGCTACTTACTGCAAGGAGCAAGGGTAGTGTAGGACACTAGATTCCAGGAGAACAAACCAAAAGAATAAAAAAAGAAAAGAAAAAATATTGCCAGAGGAGAACAAAATTCACTCAAATTCACCAGATGTGGTCCCAGAATCTGTGCAATGCAGAATTCAGACACTGAAAAAAAAATCCTATGTCTACTCCTTGTACTACACCTTCAACTAAAACCAGATTTTACCCCTGTGAGATCTGGTCTAGGCTCTCTCTCCGCTAGTACAATGACACTGTTCATGAATGGTAATAAAAAAACCACTCGCTCATCAGTTCACAAAGCAGTACTCACTAGTATGTAGAATGTAGTGAAGATTGGGCTGGAAGTGACCCGGATTTTGGCCCTGGCAGAGGGCAGCTTCCAGAGAAGAAACATAAAGAAAAGCACATTTGGAACCAGGAGCAGAAGATCCCAGTAGCGGACTCTGCAAAAAGTAAATAAAACCAATTTTTTTCCCTGTTCTTTGGCATCCAGAGGGGAAAGCACCAGCCCCAGTCCCTTCTCAACGAAACTGAGAAAAAAAGCTCTTTCCCCAGACCCAGGGTCTGACCACGGTCCCATTCCCTCCATCTCACCTGGACTTCCCAATGTCCTCATAGAGCAACAGCAGGCACTTGTGTGGTACGGTGATGTTGGTGTCATTGACCACCTGCGTCGTTGCTGCTGGAGACAAAGTTGTCGCGTTATCCAGTGCTGTCACCAGGGCGGTCGAACGCGTGATGTTGTCAGACACGGAGAACCTCATCACAGATGTCATGGACTGCAACATCCTGCCTTCCTCCTGGTCCAGGTCAAACACAGCACGAGACAGCCACAGCAGAGACAAAAAGCGACATTAAATCAGTTGTGAGTCAGAGCTAAAACACACAGCCCTGCCATTAGGCCCCTGCACAATTGCTTCCTGCTCGTGACAGCAGATTATCATCAGCAGAGAGCCCATATTACACAATGAAATGCCACCTGCCCTTGCTTTGCACAGAGGACGGACAGTGAAAAAACAATATCTTGTATCAGACTAACAAGCACCTTCAAAAGAGTGTAATACTACAGTGAATTAAATTGTGTGATTTGTTGGGTTTTGGAAGATTCATAAAAGAAATCAAGACTCAGCAGCAACGTATGGCATCATCAGATGGAGACAGAAACCCTGCGGTACCAGAACATCAACTACCCTTCTAGCTCCCAAGAGCAAGCAGTTACAGTCAATAATTTGATTTCAACTATTGTAGAGAAAAAAATGAAAGCCCCTACCTAAAAACTGCTGCTGTTACCAACCCCTAAAGGAACTATACAGGCTTTCTCTTCAAAAACCAGCACTGGCAAAAACCAAAAGCCAGCATTTTCCTTCTAAGTCTCCGCAAGACACCAGAACTAGTCTGATTTTAAGCATCACAGCATGGCCGCAAAGAGACAGCACCTTTCTGTCCCTCCCCCAGGCCCTGCACTGCTGCGATATTAAATGTCCCTCCAGAAGTTAAAGGGAAACTCTGCCCTGCCATCCATAAAACTCCACTTTTCATGCACACATCAGTGATTTCTGTAAAAACCACAGCAGCAGCAGTTTATCCCTCTGTGGATTCTACCAGCACCTTGGCAGCTGGAGTGGACCATGGCACACGGTACTTTACATCAGGATTTAGTACACACTAGAGTTCTGACCCAATTTACCTGACTAAGCCTGCCCTCGATTCAATGTATCGCCTTTTGCAAAGCCTTTCTTCCTCATCCTAGAAGAGCAACCCTTACCCTAAGGCACTGAACTAGCTACAAGCTGAACACAAAGACAAGGTCCTACCATTTCCTCTGGCAATCCTCAAAGCAGTGGTCACAGGCCACACAGATTAAACAAAAACAAACAAACAAAAACAAACAACAACCCTCTACCAACTGGCATCTTGAAGATGCAAATTGCCAGAGACAGCACTCCAGCAGTCCCCGAGCTACCGTCAATGCAGGATTAGCCTCAAAAAAACTCCGTTTGACTTCAGCCCTGGCAAAGACCGACGGCCTCTGTGACAGATCTCAGAAGTATTTTCCTTGCTCAGTTCTGAGTGAGTCATAACTCAAAGAATCAGCACAGCCCTGTGTCATCTGTTGGGCTTTTCGATTCAGTGGCACCTTCCCCACCGACCGCTGGAGACGGCCAGCCACGGACTCTTCTTTTCAGAGGCTGAGGCTTTCCCCAGGTCTCTCAAAGGGTGCGGGGATCATCCCACCCCCAGCTGACAAACTCTCCCTTTGACTCATCCGTGGTGACAGATACTCCCTGAGCTGGGATGTTTCTTTCACGACTGCCATATGCTGTGCTGCGCAAGAGACGTCACATTCAATAAACACACGCAGGCCCGGTGTGCTGAGATGGCAAAACCAACACCAAAACATCCCAGCTCCAGTAGAGGTTCCAGCAAACAACCTCCACATTCCTGACTTCTCTCTCTTCCCTCCAGCTTCTCACTTCATTGAATTGACACCATTGAGAATGATTTTCTGCTAATTATTTCACTCCATTCTTTCCCTCTGAAACACCTTTGCATCTCAGCACCAAGAAGCATGTTCGCATTTGCCAACACAGCAAAAATTCAACCCAATTTTTTAAAAAGCTGGAAACAGGTAGAGAAAAAAACCTTCCAGAGCATGGGCAGGATAAGATCATCAACTGCAAACCATCGCAAACTCCTCACATCTCTGCTGGGACAAAGAATTTGATCTGCCTGTCACACTGAAAAGAGCTCACGTATAAAGCTGCGAAAGAATTACATTGGGAAAATATCCTCCTTATAAAAAGAGCAAACAGGCTCCGTTCTTTTTCCCTAGAAGCTACCACTATCGCACAACAGCAGCAAGCTGCTGATAAGAAGTTGGCCACATGTAACAGAGTTCTAGTCACAAGATTTCCAAGGGCAAAGCAGGATCAAGCTCACCTCTCAGCCAGGCTGCTTGCCAGAGCCTGCTATTAGTGTCCTGTTCTTCCTCCCAAAACGAAGCATACACAACAGCAGAGCAACAGGAAGACCAACACGATAAGAAACGGCAGCCAAAACCATCAGCCAGCCAGGACGATCGCCGTGTTTTTCTAATAGCTAAGGCCTACAGCAAGGATGGGGAGAACTGTCCTGTTCCTGCCAAAATCACCAGCAAAAATTCTACGGCAACAGGACCAGGAACTGATGGCAAGGATCTGGCGCCGCTTCGTCATCCCCAGCAACACTGCTCCTCACTGCACGCTGTCCAAACCCTCGTCCCATCCAGTCCAAAATAACTCCAGTCAGCTGAGCACAGCCAGGAGATCACTCACCACACGCTGCCTCCACGGGCCTGTTCACCTCAGCCAGCCTAACCCAGGCACCAGGGGTAAATCACCCCATGGCCACACTAGAGGAAACCAATGCCACAGCCCTCATCTCCCTTTTTCTTCTAGCAGGCAGCATTATTCACCAAACACTAGAAAACAAAACAAGTTGGTTTTCTACGCCGCAGCTTCAGTCTGCCTGGCTTGGCAGAGCCCTGTTCCCCTGTCCTGGCGCTGGACTCTGTTCAGATGAGGAACATTCACAGGTTGCTCTGCCAGGTCACTGGGGAAGCTGCACCTTCAGTGGAAATGAAACCACCGAGGAGACGTTGTTTTTGATTTATGGCACCAGCACCCTGTGAGCTCAGTGAAATCCAGGGCTCAAAAATCACTGGCAATTCTCTGTGCTCTCAAAGCCCAACCACACAACGGTGAATTACACACGGCTAGAGTTTCAGCTCTAATAAATAATAATAAAAAACCCAAACAAACAAACAAGAAAGTTCTCTTTCTTTCTTTCTGAAAACAGTATCAGAAAATCATGCAAGTACACATACTAGGGTTAAGACTGTTCCTTCAAACATTGTACTTGTGCAAGAGAAAACTGCACTACCCACGTTCCTGCTTAAATACAACTGTTACTTCAATAACTTAAATGCTTTAAAAGACAAAAAATGTGCCTTGTTTTTTTTACTTTTTCTTTTTTAAGATGGGTCTTCAAATCTCACTCTTGGTCACAACAGCTGCATTTTGTATTTTACCCTTAGAATGGCCTCACAGAATGGGGATTTTCCACCTGTGACCGAGGACATTCTCACATCTCATTCTGGATCAAACTTAAAAAGAGAAAGGAAGTGCAGTGCTAAAAACAACCAAAGAAAAATACCAAAAGCAGAAGTATCGACACTAATCCAAAACCATCAGGCAGAGGATGTCTTTCAGAAATCAGTATGCTAAGCATTTTCTTGTTTTCTTTCAGTTTTGTCGTTTCCATTTTATTTTTCCTTCAGGAGGTGGGTGCACAGACAAGAAGCAGAGAGGCAGCAAGCAAAGCAAAGTGACAGCACACGGTCACTTCATTCTCCCCTGGCAGGGAAGCGTTGCCTGTTTTAAAGGCTGCTAAAGGAACCGGAGAGCCGGCAAAAACCTCAAGTTTTTCACCCCCTTAAGGCCAGGCAAAGCGGCCTCCGTGGCTACCCGGTCACAGCAGAGCTCCCGGGCTGCCTTCCAGGGCCCCACCGGAGAGTTTGCAAAGGGCAGGGCCGCAACCCGGAGAGCAGCGAGGTCCGCCCAGGCCACCGGTAACC